CTGGAAGCAGACACCCATGCGCGCACCGTCCCAGGCCAGCGCCGCGCAAATGTCACCCCTGTGACGCCTTTCTCTGTGGTGAACTCCGACTCCCAACGGGCCCTCGCCGTACTCCATGGGCTCAGAAAGGCTGAACCCCATGCAACAGCATGTCCCGCATGCCCAAATTGACGAACACCAAGAAACAGGGAGAGCCCAAAGCCAGCCGAAATACAGTGGGGAAGACGCTGGACGACGGCACCACCAGGGAAGGCGCGCGCTATTGCAGAACTCGTCTGGCATCACTACTCTATCGATGCCGTACTCCCCCCTGCACACGTGCCGCTGCCCGTCTTCCCGTGGGCCTCCTCCGCGCCCGTCTCGCTGGGCACGGTGGCGTCCTGCAGGGCCGCACACCGCGCGCTTCGCGACGGCCTTGCAGCCCTGCTCACACCCCGCCGGGGTCACTTTGCGGTCGTAGACGTGCTCGTCCACGACGGGGCAGCCGCCGTTGATGGGGGCAAGGGCGTCGTACACCGCCGCACGCAGGATGAGGTATGCAGACAAATGGCGAGACACCTTCGTGGCGCCGTAGCCGTCCTCCCGCCTTGGTGTCCCCGTCGCACAGCTTCTGCCCGAAGTAGGTGATCAGGCCCTCCTGGATCCACCCTTCGAGCGCCAGGCTCTCGAAGACTTTGCAGAAGGTCTCGCACGAGTTCTTGAATTCAATCTCCCCGGAACTGATGCCCGGGTCATTCACGATCACGTCGAAGCTGCACTTCTCGCCCTTGCTGTCCAACGGTTCGACGGTCGCCGCGGGCTTGTCCGCAGCCCGGCGACCTCTGCCCTGCAGCAGCCTCTCGCCGCCACAGCAGGGAGGCCCATCGGAGGTTCCTGGGGGAAGGCGGCCAAAGGGCATCGCTGAAACAACGTTATTGTTCGCCGCGCGCTACCGCTAACCGCACGCGCCCGAGGCGGCGGGGCCCCTGCCGTGCCCCGCTGAGGAGGCCCAGGCGCGGGTCTCTCACCCCCATGAGACCCTATTGGGGTCCGGTGAGGGCTTGAGCCAGAATGGCTACGGCAAAACTCCTCCTCCTCCTCCTCCTCCTCCTCCTCCTCCTCCTCCTCCTCCTCCTCCTCCTCCTCCTCCTCCTCTCTCCCTCCTCCTCCTCCTCCTCCTC